GTTACTAAAAGAACAATGCTTTCTTTTACTGCTGTCGAAAATGGAATGGTGCGCGGAGGACAGCTCTTCTGCACGGTAGGAGTGCCAGCGAGGGACAGAAAATGCTGACTTCTGCCGCCGGCCGCGCGGGGAGGAGGGACTCGCAGCTGAGCAATAAGCCATGTTCCTCCTGCGCAGCCCGTCCCTCTCCCGCGACTGTAAACGCCGTGACGGACCGTTCAAGGTCTCCCGGGCACTTTACAGAAAGCCCAGGAGAAAGGCTGCCCCAGGACCATCCGTTTGTAACCGGTGCTGCCGGGCGCGGGCTAAGAGAGCCCTCAGCCACTGTCCGGCTTGTCCTGAAACTGCAGCCTTTTTTCCTGTTGGGCCAGTGATAACCACCCATTGTGTGACTTACGCAGTGTGAGTTACCAAAAAAGAAGCGAGGCTTTAAAAATAAATTTTTTTTTGGTCCTAAATGACAAAAGAAAAGATCATTGTAAAAAAAATGTGAAAAATATACACACAGAGAGGAAGTTAAAAATCATTGGATCCCTCTCCCTTCCTCTCTGTAAAAAATCAATAAAATATATTTTTAAAAATCATTGGGAATGGTTAGTAACATCTCAGCGGAGGAGAAAGGGTTTGAAAAAGTCCCTCCTCTGTGGTGCAGAATCTGGTATTTTTTTTTTAAGATGTTGGGATAAAATAATACCAAAATAAACTCAAGGGGGAAAAGAGGAAGCCATTCTGCACAAATACTAGAACTGAGACCACTTCCTTCTCAAGTGGGTACATCCTCCACTGTGAGCAAGGACAGGATCTTCAAGGTAGGAAGTAGAAACAAGACGAATATTCCTTAGGAATTCTGGGCTGGCTTACATAGCAACAGACCTAGGAGCTCCCCGAGTCCGGATACACAGCAGAGAGCATTCACGCCCAGGTTCCAGGGGACAGGAGGGGGGGGGGGGGGGGGGTGTGGGGGCCCAGCGCTCGCCCGGACCCTGGACTGCAGTCTGGGCTCTGCAATTGATTAACTCTGTGACCTTGGGAAGGTGACGGTCTCTCTGAGGTCCCCTCTCTAAAACTCGCAGAGTGATATTAAGGCAACGTGCCTGTAAAATCCTTTTAACAGAACCAGGGGGCACAGTTCCAAGCTTTTCTGTATTGTCTGGATCAAAACATTGCTTCCTTGTTGTCGACATTATTTATCTCCATGGATTTCCAGCTGTTTGTGAAGGCGAAATAAGCTGCTTCCAATGGGCCTATTCAGGAACTTTGATGGTTTAACCTCGTGCATTTCTCCAAAGTCATGTGTTGAGAAATAGGTCCCCAGAAATATGCTTCCTCAGCCTGAAAGAGAGGAGGTGACGCTGTCCTGAGGCTAAAGCCACCTCCCTCGAAGGTATGTTTGGTTTTTTAATTTTATTTTTCAATTACAGTTTACTTTCCATAGTCACCTCGCTCACAGTTTCTTCCTAACCCACGCATGTGCTGGCTGCCTTTGGACACGGATAAATGTGTCCTCTTCACAAATACTTAAGTGCTCTTGATAAACGGATCAAGAAGTTGGTATTTCCATGCCAAACACATCCTCATCTGTACCCCATCTCTGGCCAAATTTGGGCTCTGGCCCTGAATGTGCAACGTCTCCAAAAAACACGCCTGCCTATCTGGGAGCCCACACCCTTTTTGCTGTCCCACATGAAACCTGGCGGCGGGCCAAGGGTATGGCCAAAGAGTGGCTGTGCCAGAGCGAATTAATCACTGCCCCCTCCCCCCAGGAAGGGACAGAGCCCCCCCTCCTGGGGGCGCTGCTGAGCCCGACACCCTGCTGGATATCCCTCAGGGCATCAGGAGTCTGTTCAATTCCTCCAGCTACTGATTGGCTTCTCTGAGCCTGCTTTTGGCACAGGTTGGAGATGAGGAGGGAAAAAAATGGTGTAAGCAAGTTTCGAAATCTTAGATCATTTCATGAATGACTCAGTGTTTCCTTCTGGAAAAGTGCAATAATGGGCTTTCATTAATAACTTAGCTCTGAAAAGAGGCTCTACACATGGAGGAGCCTTGGTGTTCTCTGAACCTGGCGTCCTCCCTCCAGCCTCCATTTTTCTGGCCTCCCCAGGAATGTTATTCACTTGATAATGGGGGTTTGTTGAAAAATAACCTGTCATAGACTTCCTCCTTCAGGCTTCCTGTTCTTTCTGAGAAAAGCACCGAGGTTGTCTCTTTCTTTCTCTTTTCTTTTTCTATTTAAAAATATTCAAAATATAATGTATCAAATTGACACAACCTTAAACTCACACAATATAAACCAATTACATTTTAATAAGAGACTAGAAGAGAATAGCCTGGTATTTATTTATTTCTAAAATGAGAATGTCATACAGTGGATTGCTTTAGTGTGTGAAATACATAACTAAATATGTTTCAAATATTTAATTTGGCTACATTTCAATTTTAGAATTAAAAGGAAAAAAAACAACAACAAGAAAAACAAATAAGAGCTCTGTGTCTTCCTGCCTCTGCACATCAACAGCCCTAAGTTTTGATACAGAAGAAAGACATCCAGGCTTCCGGGCCGGGGACTCCAGCTCGAGCCTTAAACCCAGAGGACGTCTCCAATGACTCATTACTGGAATAAATGTTGCTAATGTGAAAGGTATGCAAATAGAGCTTAAACGGGTGAAGGAAGACGCTGCAATCCGATAAATAACATCCAGAATGTTACTGTGGTTACGATGGACTCTATTTGCATACAGGCTTATCTTGTTTTTAAAGCAGGAGGGGTGGGGGAAAAAGGAGGAGGAAGAGAAAAATCCCAACTTTCGCCTCCTGTTCTCAAAGTACAATCTCTGAAGAAGGCCTGGTCTTTCAAGCCATGTTAACCAGCAAGAAATGCTTTGTGTGGCAGAATCCAAAACACATCCAACACATTTGCTAGTATGTAGAATGCAAACACGGGCTAGCCTCAGGTCATCTTACTGAGAGAATTGCACAATCAAACTTTTTGTCATCCAGGGTGGTGTGCTGGGTCAGGACTGATCTGTCACTACTCCGGTTTCAGGAGTGGCCCTGCCCGGTGGCTGGACTCATCACTAGTGGGTCCCTGGCTCCTCTTCCAAGTCAGACTGAGAGAGAATGAAATAGAGAGAGAGGGAGAGAGAGAGAGAGAGAGAGAGAGAGAGAGGCGCCCCATAGTAGATCCTGAGCTCTATCTCAAATTACAGATCTTGCAGCACCGAGTCCTGTGAATGAAAGCCAGAATGACTCGTCATTCGGGAGGAGAGCTCACACTGCTCGTCTTATTTATGTCTGTGTAGGCATGTATTTGCCCATGTTGGGCTCTGGAAAAAGCCGTGCTTCCTTACCATTGCTCATCCATGTAAGGTGGACATAGTTCTAGGAAACAGATGAGCAAAGTCCACACTGACTCAGAAAGAGAATGGATTTGAATAAATGCTTCAGAAAATGTCTACATTAGTCACACACACGTAGATAGGCAAGCTCACGGGAGGCAGGGGCCCTGCAGAAGCCCCCCTGTGGCACCCACCAGGCAGCGTCTCCAGCCCCTAGTTCAGCATCTTAAGAAGGAGGGGGAGCCCTGGCCAGGTAGTTCAGTTGGTTAGAGCCCAGTCAGATATGCCAAGGTTTCGGGTTCCATCTCTAGTCTGGACATATACAAGAAGTAACCAATGAACGCATAACAAATCAATGTCTGTCTGTCTGTCTGTCATTCTCTCTCTCTCTCTCTCTCTCTCTCTCTCTCTCTCCTTCCTCTCTTTCTATAAAATCAATAAAAGAAAGAAAGAAAGAAAAAGATCAATGTGGGAAGAGTCCAGAGAATTCATGAAATACACTCAAAACCATTCAAATGCTATAAAGATTCGTTTCATAAGTATCTTCAGTGTTTTCTTTTATATGGGTATTTAATCTAATTTTGGGACCATTTGTCAAGGTGAAGCAGGTTTCCTATTTAGAGTTCCTGTGCACCCCCGCCCCCATCCTGGCTCCCCAAATAAAGTTGGATTCTGAATTGGAAAGTGAGACAAGGGAGGAGTGATAAGAAGCGGGTGTACTGACAGAGAGAGGTGGCTTATTTTAATGAGCTTGGTCCCTTAAGATTATCATACATACTGGTACACATGCATTAGTGTACTTAAAAATCACAGCTTTATATGTGTTTTTTATTTTTTTATTTTTTTTTATATTTTATTGATTTTTTTACAGAGAGGAAGGGAGAGAGAGATAGAGAGTTAGAAACATCGATGAGAGAGAAACATCGATCAGCTGCCTTCTCCACATCTACTGGGGATGTGCCCGCAACCCAGGTACATGCCCTTGACCGGAATCAAACCCGGGACCTTTCAGTCCGCAGGCCGACGCTCTATCCACTGAGCCAAACCGATTTTGGCTATATGTGTTTTTTAAAAGAAGTTAATGCCTGCTTCTGGTATCCAATTCAAGAGATACAAAGGGGACACAGAAAAAGCTAGTCCTCCCCTCCCCACCCCACCCCTTTGTCCCCCTGGTTCCCAGCCTCTCAGGTCCTCTCCCTAGAGGTCACCACTAAGACCAGAGGGAAGATTTTTTTAAAGGAGATAATTATCCTGTCAACTTGGTTTTCCTTTATAATGTGAATACATTTTTGTAGTCTTTATTCCTGGATAATTCCCTCTGAAATACCCTAAGATACAGGAGGATTAAAAAAAAAAAAAGAGGTTTGGGGTATGACAGTCTTTACCTGTGAGGGTTTTAATTCAACTGTGAAACATTTTTTGTTTTTCTGCCCCATCCTACTTGACCAGAGGAGTTGCGTGAGGGTGGCGAGGGGAGATGGGCAGCCTGTTCAGCATCTGTAGTCTCTAAATTTGTATAAGAGAAAGAAAACAAGACATGATTGAAGAAGCAAACATTTTTAACACCCGAGGAAAATCATCATTGGAAAAGATCAGGTGAAAAAGCAGGATGCTACCAAGTACTAAGCCATCTTTCAAGAGCTGCAAGCAGCACTGGCGGGGTAGCTCAGCTGGTTAGAGCATCGAACTGATACCCCAAGGTTCAAGCCCTGGTCAGGGCACATATGGGGGTCAATCAATGGATGCATGAATAAATGGGACAACAAATTGATGTTTCTCTCTCTCCCCTTGCCTCTCTTTCTAAATCAATAAATAAAAAAATAAAGCTGCGCCCTGACCGGTTTGGCTCAGTGGATGGTGCGTCGGCCTGCGGACTGAAGGGTCCCAGGTTCGATTCCGGTCAAGGGCATGTACCTTGGTTGTGGGCACGTCCCCGGTGGGGGGTGTGCAGGAGGCAGCTGGATCGATGTTTCTCTCTCATCAATGTTTCTAACTCTCTATCCCTCTCCTTTCCTCTCTGTAAAAAAATATCAATAAAATATATTTTTTAAAAAAAAATAAATAAATAAAGCTGCAAGCAAACACCATCATGGCAATGGCAGTTATTTCTGTTTCTGAGTGTTGTATGTTGGCCCTATGGGTGATTTCTGTAAGTTTCAAACTTTGTATAATAAACAATAAGGATTTCTAGTCATAAAGATAAAGAAGTACTTTTTAAGGTTTATACATTGCATACTAGACTGCATTCTCTGGCCTTTTCTACGGATATTGCCAACTTTGAGAATTCTTATACTTAATATATGGCAGGTACATAGGCCTAATAACAACATTCTTCTACTTTTTGCTCCGTTATCCTGAATTACTCTGATTTATGTACTGTGGCATCTACTATGTTCTACTTAAATTTGTTCAACAAACATTTAAATAGAGTTTAACCAATAATACCTATAGAATTTCCATGCCTATCCCACAGTTTGGGAAATGGTACTTTTAATTTTATGCAGGAAATTCTGTACCAGTTCAATACATTTAAATTAAACTTGAATATTGAGGGTCTGATTGATTTGTTTTTATTTACTTTAAATATATTTTTATTGATTTCAGAGAGATAGAATGATGAGAGAGAATCATTGATCGGCTGTCTCCTGCACGCCCCCCACTAGGGATTGAGCCTGCAACTCGGGCATGTGCCCTCGACCAGAATCAAACCCGGGACCTTCAGTCCACAGGCCGACGCTCTATCCACTGAGTCAAACCAGCCAGGGCTGATTGGATTTTTTAGTGGGTGCATTTTGCCACCTACAAAAAGCCTGAGAATGGACCACAGACACTATCAATATTCTACAAACTCCCCTGGCAGCAGCCACTTGACTTAATCAGCTTAATAATTCATTAACACTTGTAATATTACTTTTTCAATTGTATGCTGTGTGTACTTAAAAGTAAAAAGGACAAAAATAAGTTTGAGGGGGAAAACATTTTAATTGTTTTCAAATGTTCCAATAAAACTGAAACGCATACACTCTTGCTCAAGAATGTCCTTGCCAGATTATTACATACTTGCTTGCCAAATCTCTCTAGCTTTCTCCTATTTTCTTAATCTTAGGAACTATAGACAATATTAAGGGTTGCTGGCTGGTCAGAATACATAAATGCTTCCAAAAGGCTTTTAAATGTTCAAATGTCATAGGAAGGAATGGGAAAAAAAATCAGATCTCCACTCTTAAAAACAATTAAAAGTTTATGAGTCAGAAAATAGCAAAATAATCTTAAACTCCCAAGAACAAAGTATTTTTTTTTTGCATTTATGTTTAAATAACCATTTTGTTATCTTCAACTGTAGTTCCTGCTGAGAACATCCCAATAAACGGCCAGTCTCTGTGACTCAGGAAATACTCTAACTTCTGATCCACTGATAGGAGAAGAAATATCACCACGGCCAGGAGGTCTCGCAGGTCACTATCTAACAGACGGTGGCACCAGCGCAGGCCCAGCTCCGTGATGAGGGAGTGGTGGTTGTGCCCCAGCCATGACGCATCTGCTAAGATTATTTCAGGCCATTGAATGACACCAGGTGGGCATCCTGCACGCTGGGTTCTGTATGAAAGAAAAGCGTGTCCTGTGTTCAACGTCGAAGCTTTGAATGATTACAGGGTAAAATGCCAGCTTTTTCTGATGAATTTGCAATATTTTGCCACATACTTGAAAACGAATATAGACAAAACATCTTTAATAACTTGGAAAAGTAAAGTGAAGAGCAGACATTGTTTTCTAATATACAGAAGTGGAAGGCAACAAAATGTTAGAGTAAATTTAAATATCATTTTTGTCTCAAGCGAAACTCTGTTTGATATGAATACCATCCTCCAAATATTCATAAGAACAATGTTATTTCAATCTTGATTTCTTCGAAGGTAAAAGAAAACTCAGCTCCTTGGGTTCAGGATTAGACCTTACAATGTACTGTTTTTATTTTTATTTTTGAAACAGCATAGATTTTATTATTTATTTATTATTTTTTTCCCATCACCATTTATCTAAACCTCTATGTCCTCTTCCACTTCCACCACCCTCCTCCTCCTGTACTGTGTTTATAAACAGTATTTTAAAGAAAAACAGCAACTATGACATCTGTTTGTCTCCAGAAAGACAACATCCTAGCCCTAGCTGTTTGGCTCAGTGGATAAAGTGCCGGCCCAGGCCCAAGGACTGAAGGATTTTGGGTTCGATTCTGGTCAAGGAAGGTCAAGGACACATACCTCAGTTGTAGGCTCCATCCCCACCCCAATCAGGGAGCATGTGGGAGGTAACCAATTCATGTGTTGCTTTCACATAGATGTTTCTCTTTGTCTCTCCCCCTCCCTTCCACTCTCTCTAAAAAATATCCTTGGGTGAGGATTAACAACAACAACAAAAAGAATAAATCTCATTAAAAAAAAAAAAGACAATATCGTAGTCATAGGGCACCTTTCATGCACCCTCATAGTATCTTATGATATAAGGTGGGAGTGGGGAAACTGAGTCAGGGTTAGAATCAAATTGTTGCTCTTACATGACCCACGATCACCAAAAGCCCAAGGTTTATTTAATTTAAGATGCACCCATTGCTCTGGACTCAACTTGACATAATTGTTATTTTAAGTAAATGTACTTCCTCCTCCTCCTCCTCCTCCTCCTCCTCCTCCTTCTTCTTCTTCTTCTATAAACGTATTTTAAAAAATATTTCTCATCATAATTATCTCTAGTGGTAGAAGTAATTCATTACTCTCAGGGATCAGAAGGAAAGGCTTTCATTCCTAAGAGATCCAATGAAGGGGTGGTCTATCCCACTAAACAGCTTCAGACATTCACAAATGCCAGGAGATATAATCAGAAGAAATAAAATTCCTAAGTAGACCTTCTTTGCTCCTTCTGAGACACCTGAGAAGGCAGGTTTGCCACTAAGGCGAACACATGTGCTTTCTGTTGGGGTTTAAGACTGTGAGCTTTTCTTATCTATCCTCTTATTTACAGCTGAAGTAATTAATTAAAAACAAAATATCAAGCTATCAACCTGGTGGTCAAAGAAGAGAAGAATTCTTTGAGAAGACATAGTTTAGGAAAGAAATAACTGCCCTGGCTGGGTGGCTCAGTTCGTTAGAGTGTTGTCAGATATGCCAATTTTCAGGTTTGATCCCAGGTCAGGGCACATACAAAAATCAACCAATGAATGCATAATTAAGTGGAACAACAAATTTT